ATAATAAATCTCTTATTAGATGTTTTGTTGTGTGTTATCACTGAGTATTTTTACTCGTTGTTTGTATTTTGACGAACCCGTAGGGCGAGTCAAAATACGGCACAACTTGTAAAAATACTCAGTGATAATACACAACAAAACATCTAATAAGATATATTTTATACATGACTTTGGTGTTGCCTGTCCTTGTTAAGTTCCTCAATGATTGTAAGTTTAACTTGCCATTATATATCTTTATCTTTTAAGGGGACTCAAGGCACTTGGTGTGCGAGATTTGACATACAGATTGGCTTTTCTTGCCTGCAGTGTTCAAGCAACAAACCCAAGGGTAGGTCACGTTTGTTGTAATATTTGTTTTTCAAGGTGCATTAGATTTTGTGTCAGAAAGCTTCAATACCCTGGCTTGATAAATTATTAAATTTTTTTAACTCCAGGTAGCAGTTGTGTAAGTCTCATCACCGTTCTGCTTGAAAATTTTCTTGATATTGTTAGATTTTTATTCTGCTGGCTGAATGAAATGGAGGAATGAAAGCAGACATTTTTTTTCTTACACACATCTGGGAGTCTGCTTGCACCGAGGTTACAGGGTTCTAATTATTACTTGGTTGGTTTTGATTTATAAATTCATCAGTTTCCTTGTCGCTACTCACTGTTGTATGGCTTGACATAACTCCAAGTTCTGTGTGAGGATTAGAAATCCCTTTTTGATCACTCCTGGAAGTGTGACGGGTAAACTTTTTTTTTTCTAGTTTGGAGGTAAAGACCTAGATGGTGATAATGTCACTGCAGAGACAATTAAAAAGCAGATGACAGATCAGGAATGGCAAAAGATTTATCAAATGAGCAAGGATAAAAATCTTTACCAGAACTTAATCAACAGCATCTTTCCAACTATTCATGGTTGGTAACTTTTGTTTTTACTATAAACCTGAAATGTCACGCTGTACAAGTCAGAACCCCTTGATGCCCAGTTTTCCTCTGCTTAGAATGTTCTTTAAGGTTCAAAACAAAAAATCAAAGGTCAGAGTTTCTAACAGTTTACAGATTTCCATTTCTCTGTTCAACTTGCATCTGTTTCAAACTTTTATAAATCTTTCCTCAGAGAAGTTGCCACAAAATTTCTAAATTCTCTTCCCCTCAGCTTAACCAGTTAACTCCCAGAGGTGTTTGACATAGTGTAACTTCTTCCAATAATATCATACATTATCCAGCAAATAGGTAAATTGAGAATACTCATTGGGTAGAAGTTGTTGTAGAAGTTGTTAGTGGAAGTTGTGTAGCAGCTAGAGGGGAGAATTAAACTTTAGATCTTGGAGATAAAGGTTTAATTGTTTGTTGAACTTCTGCTTTATTACAAGTTCTATTTGTAAATTTACTAACACACAACTTGTTTGATACAGGAAATGATGAGGTCAAACGTGGAGTGCTCCTCATGTTGTTCGGTGGAGTTCCAAAAATTACATTGGAAAAAACAAATCTCCGAGGCGATATCAATGTCTGCATAGTTGGAGATCCCAGCACGGCCAAGAGTCAAATACTCAAGTAGGTTATGTTGAATTTTTCCCCTTAGAGAAAAATTGGATCCAGTGTTTTAAAACCAAAACCAATTAATTGCAATAACTAATCAGAGGAAGGGAACGCGTTTGAGGGAGTCAAAGAGAATGCAATGTAAAAAGAAGCTAACTGCATATTACCGACTCACAGTGGCTGGATGTTTTGAATTTGATCGGTGGAGAGGATGGCATGAGTTTTCATAACCAATCACAGACCCACCTCAATTGAAAATTGCTCTATTTATGATAAGGGACCTATCATTCATTAGAGGGAGGGGAGGGCTGGTGCAAATGGAGGAGGAGGGTCATCACTTTTTTATGGAACCAAAAAGTGGAGAGGGAGGAGAGGGTGAGAGGTTTTTTTCTGCAAGAAATTGGGGAAGGGCATAGAAAAGCTGGACATAGTAAAAAAATATATTGCACCAGCCTTCCCCCCCCCCCTCAAATGAATGACTGTCCCTATTTTGGATAATGATTCTAACCATGTTTTATTGATGATGAGCATTTTGGACAAACTTTTTTTCATATTTTTCTTGATGACAGGCACATTGAGGAGTTTAGTGTCAGAGCTGTGTATACCTCTGGAAAGGCGTCTAGTGCTGCAGGTCTCACAGCAGCTGTGGTCAAGGATGAGGAGTCCTCAGAATTCGTCATTGAAGCTGGTGCTTTGATGTTGGCTGATAATGTGAGTACTGTTTGGCAAGGGGGTTCAATTGCCGGGAATTCTCTTCACCCTTTAGCAGAATATTAGTTGATCTCATACCAAATTCTCCAAACTAGCATTATAAGAATTGTATGGCAGACAGTAAGGAGAATTACTAATCAGATCAGGAGAGTGAAAATGTTAAAAGGTGAGCACTTTACCTTTTCTGAAAACAGTGTGCTTTATTTGGAACTTGAATTGCAGCTAAGTTGCAAAAATTTTAGACATTGTGGACAACAGTTATTTTTTTTTTTTAATGACTTGTGATTAAGATATATTTTTTCCTTATAGGGGGTATGCTGCATCGATGAGTTTGATAAGATGGACCCTAAGGATCAAGTGGCCATCCATGAAGCAATGGAACAGCAAACTATTTCAATTACAAAAGCTGGTGTAAAGGTAAACCTTTATCTTATCTGTGAGCATGAGTAAAAAATCAGAGACCACCCCCCTTCTCAGAGAGGTTTGTAGATGTTCAATAACAAAAGCTGGTGTAAAGGTAAACCTTTATCTTATCTGTGAGCATGAGTCAAAAATCAGAGACCCCCCCCTCCTTCTCAGAGAGGTTTGTAGATGTGCCTCTCTCCCCCTTCTACTTGCTCCTCTAATAGAGCTGAATATTTGGTAAATGTTACTTTGTAGGCTTCATTAAATGCAAGAACTTCTATTCTGGCAGCAGCCAACCCCATTGGTGGGCGATATGACAGAACAAAGTCACTCAAGGTAGGAGACAGTGATTATGAGTCTCTTGTAAGAATTATCAATGTCAATTGTCAATGAATTGTCAATGTCATTTGTGGCGAACATTAAGATGTTGTTCCTATTGGCCATTATTATTTATAGTTTAACAGTACTCAATTAAACAGTGCTCTCAGCCCTGGTTCTTATCGATAATATCATGAAGTAGACTTCAGAGGATATTAATTTGCAAAAATGATTACTTGCAGCACAACCTGAACATGTCTGCACCCATTATGTCAAGATTTGACCTGTTTTTTATACTTGTTGATGACTGCAATGAGGTAAAGATCTTCTTTAATTTATTAATTTTTTTAAGAGTTGAATCATCAAAAACTTTAATTTATAACTTCTCTTTACTTTGCCTTTACTTTGCCCTAGACTGTATCACAAATGAGGAAAACAAAAGAATTAGGACAATTTTCTGACTTTAATCACCAAAATACTTAGAATTACACACCCAGACATAATCACTTGGGACACTTCCCAAGAATAATGTCTATGATGTTCTTTAATTTGCCTCTCTCCCACTTCCAATGTTGTTTATTTGTATAGTATTAAATATATTAATCAGTAGTTTCACTAGCAACCTGTGTGGCTTCCCTTGGTGTTGATGTATGGGATCCCATGAAAATGGGTTCCCACTCCACTGATGAGCAATC